TGTCCAGTTTCAACCTTCCATAAAATCGGGGGATACATTTTTTTTCTCTTCATTTTGTCCTTCACGTCGCGACAAATGTTAAAAATAATTATACATATAATAGAACAATTATATAAAAAATATATATATATATATAATACTAAGAATAATTAATATTTGTAAAAATAAATTATTGCCAAGTATTGTTACGTACTTCATCATTCGAGTGATTAATTTATCACCTTGAAATCTTCTACGATCATAGCAGATCTGCAGGAAGATCCTATAGGTATTATGAATGAATGATACTTTCTTTAGATACGTGATAAAACTAACAATGAATAATTACAAGAATAGTGAATATCACTCGCCATCCGGTACAACACATCGAGAAATAAAATGGTCATATAATCTAGCATGTATTATAATTAATTCCGTACGCTGGTTTTAAATACAAACCAAGAAATAAAGAAGTAAAATGTGAATGAAAAGCATTATCTCAATAAAATATCCACAACGAACATTGTAAAAAACTGTTGAGAAGCCACTTGCTCAACATTTAAAATAGCAAACAGTTTCAATCGTTTCCCTTCTAGTTCGTCGAACATCTAAATTTTGATTTATCGTGAGAAACGCAGTGACTCTGTCAGAGTGTGTGAAATGACCACAGCGACGAAGTTCAAAGGATGGACATAAATTTCGCCACATAAATGAACGACGAGAAGATGCGTTAATTTCTGAATAATTTTGATATTGAAATGGGAAACGCGTGTTGCACGTCCCACAATCGTGGATATTTCGCGTGTCATCGACACCTATACTCGCGAATAATGCCAATCGGCACTGTCCTCCTTACGACTTACCGTTCGTTTCGAAGTGGGTGTTGCGCATTATCAAGATTTGCAACGCGATGTGACATGAATTTGAAGCTGCGCAACTTGCCGATTGCGAGGATTACCGATGGCTGTCCGGTGTCACACAACAATCGTTATACTGACATGATTTTTGTAACGTTACTCAACACGATTTGGTGTTACCAACTTACCAAGGATCATTGGTAACTCGCGCGAAAAATATCTCGATCGGGACACAATTTAATTACCGCAGAATAAAATAATTGACAATTCATTAACGAAATTTCTACGCCGTAGTAATTCAATCGTCAGATCATAAAAATCATCCTTAATAATTGCGAGTACATTTCATTTATTTTGTGTCACATCAACGTGTGAGTTATCGATCGAAATTATGTAAATCAATACAAGTGCACGGAGAATATTACACGAAATTAGAAAGAACAGAGACACGAGAAATATTTCATATGTACGTAGAGAAATATCTACGAATCATCAATTTATCATTGATCGAAAACGACGAACCGATGTGAAGCATATAACGTATGAAATGCGACTAATGAATGAAAAAAAGCAATGGAAGTTATGGTGTCGCGACCTCGTTTATACGGCCCCGTTCGTTCGCCGTACAAGAACACTTGCAGGCATTTTTCGTCCTTCCGTCAAACAAATTACCGCCGCGGAATGCAGGTACCCTTGCAAGAGTAACGAGTTTACCGAACCGGTAGCAAGCTTGGCATTGTAAACGAGAATAATCGACCATAAATTTAAATCTGGGAGGTGCAGTGACTCACGAAAGTATTGGAACAACCATCGTGGAAAATATAATGATCTCAATAATATGGATGATCACCAATCTGGATATCTATATGGCAATTGTAAGATGTTTATCTCAAATATACATTTAGTAAAAAAGTATAAAAGTAACAAGTATGTAAAAATATGTCTTTGTAGCAAATATCTTGTAATTGCTATATTTCAGATCAAACTTTACCACTGCGGTATCACGGTAATGAAATTTTAAAACGTTTCATGCATTTAGAATATGTATCAAAATGTCTGCATGTGTTTGAATGCTTTCATGCGCGATTAAAACGAAAGAAGAAGAAAAAATTAACTTCGCGATCTCGGACTAAAATGGTCAATGCGACAATATATATCATATAATCGCGAAGTCGACCCGTGAAATATCGAGCGATAAGATATACTGGATAGCCGATTCTGCGGTGGAACGTCGGTATTCCTTTCACTAAAGTGGTTCTCAAAGATGAAAATGTGCACGTAGCGTGGCCCCCGATCGTCGGAGAACCGATTCTTTACACGGTCGAGACCCCTGGCGATATACTTTTATCGTGACGTAATCTATCTGCTATGTACATGTCTCGAGGCAGCACGTGAAATGTAAGCGACAGTGTAAACTACGAGGAGCAGACTTACCGTTCAGGTGTCGCCGCTTTTCTTCGAGAATGATCTCCCCCAGATAGCAGACATTACTCCTCGCGAAGGATACACCAATTTCGTTCACGGTCTTCATGTTCGTTAGGTAAACACTACCGACAAAAGGAAAGATTTCGCGTTAGACGAGAAGAAAATGGGACTGATACGAACGTGATTTCTCCCCCGTTTTTGGGGATTTATATTTTCCCTTGTAAAGTAGAAAATTATTGTGATAATAATTAGCAGTAAGCAACGTGCGAAATTTTTTTCTACAATTAAATATGCTCGATGACATTTAAATTATTATTCAGAATTTTTGGTATTGAAATAGAAAGTTTGTCAAACGTAAAAATTAAGTTACATTTCAAAAATTAGGGAACTGCGTTACGCTTTTATTTTTATTTTGTTAGCTGATAGTTGAGTAACTCAAGCTCGAGCCTTATTTTATCGCATTCCGAAAGTGTGCAAGTCTGAAGAGCGACTCTAAAAATGTAATATACTCCCGTAAATTATATAATTTTAATACTAAAATTTCCTTATATCGAATAGCAATAACTAAATCGCCACTAATATCACTAGTCTGTTTCCGACATGCGATTACATTCATTACTGTATACTTGTATTTTATTGTTAGTAAATTTTAAAATGTTTTAATTTTCTTTTTTTTTGTTATATGTTTTATATGTTTCAAATATTCAAATTTACACTTTGTAGATTTACCATTTCTTCCAGTTTGAAGTTAGATTCCTTGATTCATAATGGATGATGGATCTTAAGCCGGTATTATTACCTAGAACCAGTATCGGTTCAGTACGTCTTTCGTTTGATATGAATGATTCTATTTGTTTGTAGACAATAATTGCTACGATGTCTTGTTGAAATTCAATGTGAGTGAGAAATAATCTGTAAGTAAATTTAAAGTATACGATTAGTACAAAAATTAAGATCGTATGAATTTACCTGTAAAGCGGAATTCTCACCTGTGGTATGAATTGAGTTCCTTTGTAATTAATTTTAAACAACCACCGCCTTCGTAAGAAAACTGGTTACAGAATTCGAAGCTATTCACATCTAGTATTGGAATTTTATCTTGAATGCTTGCAACATTTTCTAATACTCGAATAATATGTTTCCTCGTTTCATAAACGTATTGTGTCGGCTTTTTTGCACACTCATTTCGATCGTTTTCATTTTTCGGTTCAGGAGGTTGAGGGAAATATGTAAATTTCAAGTGCGGTATAGGTACTGAAATTTGTGGTTTTTGTAAGGATAGATTGTAAAATGATTTCGCTTCGAATGTGTTTGTAGTATATTGCGTCTGTAAAAAATTTGCATTTCAATTGTGATATAATTTATTAAATATGTTCAATTAATTTAAATAATGTGAAACATTTAATATACCTGACCGCAGAGATAATATGAACTACCACTTCCATGGCAAAATGATGTTTTGAATACTTCCTCTTCGTAAATAGGTATGTGGATATATAAATAAGGAAATAATTGTGCCCAAAATAAATCTTCTAATTCTTGGAATGTTTTAGATCCAAAAAATTCATGAGTCCAGCCTGGACCAAAAATCGCAACAGAAAGTCCCTCGTTTCGTATCTTTTGTAAAGCCTGTAAATCATAATAATTTGATTGATACATTAATAATTGCACGGTACAATAAAATAATTACGTGTGTCGAATTAAATCCACCACCACCAGGACAACCTCTTCCCCAAACGTCTAGTCCTATAAAAATATCATGAATATCTCTGTTGTGACTTTTTGCAAGTGCAGAACTGCTCTCTAATTTTGATTTCGTCCAGTTGTAGTTCAAATAAATACCATCACAATTTAAAAAGAAATCTCTGTAATATCGAATGTATAATACTAATTGTAAGTACTATAGAAACAGAAGTATGAATGATAAAAGTGCAATAATAATCTTACATGTTTTTGCTATTAAGCTCATTCTGCCAATTTAACGTTCCTTCAATGGTTATACTGTCATACCATATAATTTCAGAATTTCTAATTGCTTCATGAATATTTTCTGTCAGATATTTTACGAAATAAATTAAGTTATTAATTTTCTCACTTTTAATCGCGTTTTCAACATTTAATAACCAGCCATCAAACTTATAAAATTTCGCAACAAGTATTAGTGCATCTGCAAACCTTCTTACTTCCTCCTGAGATTCAAGTATGATATCCCAGATACCTTCTCTTTCGGTAATTACAGTACCAAGAACTTTAACACCATGATTATGCGCTGCGTTAATCCATCCATAAGGCGGTATAGTTATAAAGTGATGACTAAAGTACACGAACGTATCAATAACACTCCAATTATAAAATAGATAAGAATCGTAAGACCTAGATCCATTTATAAATCTGGAAAGAATTACGTTACTATAGTATACATTTACAACAGAATAAATATAATATACATAATAAATGTATAGTATAGAACAGAGTAAGTATAATAATAACTATAAATATTACCTGTCTTCTAGGTAACCACCTTTCATATCGTGACAAAGTAACGTTCTAGGTTGCCGTTCTCTGTCCAATTTCTGCAACTGCATTTTTTGTGTATTTACTTCAGAACCACTGTACACATAGTCTGTCGTATCTCTCAGCTCTTTAATTTGTGGCCACGGTTTTAGATTACCCACATTGCTATACAGTTCTTGCAAGTTTTTGAAAGGTTGTGATTCTGTGGCTTCGCTCGCCATCTCTCTGACTTGCACTGTGCTGCTGACTACTTTGAAATAGTTTTCAGTTTATGTCAAACAATGGTCTTCCTTTCTATTCGCATCACCGGAAGAATTGCAACCATACGGATCATTTAGTGCGTTGATAATGGCTATAACAAACGGAACTGGCATATCAATTTGCGACTTACTTTTTAATGTTATCTACCAGCTGCCAATGTGCGGAGATAGATTCATTTCTTTATCTGGAACAAAATAGATAACATAAAATTACGAATTCGTTATACATATGTATATTAATATTTATACTGTGCACACAATGTGATTGCTTTAACCTTAAAACGAATACACTCATTTACGGAAATACTTACAAAAATACATTTTCTCCCATATTTCACAATAATTATGTCGGTGCAAACAACTTGAAGCACGTGCAATTGAATAAATGCTCTAACACATAATATTTAATTGAATATTTCATTAAATTGACTCATTGCTCGCCACTTAACCTTTATGTTCAAAATGACAAAACAGTATACGTCAGCGCCACCAAAGATAACTATGACTCTTTCTCACTGTGTCCTTCGACTTTATTTTTCCTCCTTTCTCTTTTTATCGTATTTGCATAATCTCTCAATTCATATTAAAATTAAAATTCTAAAAACTTAACTTAATATCAAAAATTTAAAAAAAAACATATTTATTATATATTAATTTTATCACGAAATAATACGAAAATCGGAGTAACAAAACTATACTTGGAGAACAAAAGTTATTTTGAGTCGCAGAATTTTTCCAACTTTATTTGCATTATGAATTTAAATCCACATATATATATATATATATATATTATATATTATATATTAGCATTGTAACAACTGGCTATTTTGAGACCGGCAAATTTACAAAATGTGATTGTCACCATACATAAAGAGACGATCGAAACAAACTACGAATTCGTAAAAAGGTAAGAAGACAGAAATATGTAAATAAATGAATGCGAATGAACTGATTATAATTCGTTTCTTAGTGATCACAAAGCGCTGAAAATCGCACGATGAATCGATCACCGGTTAAGGAAAATGCAGTGATAGTGAAAATTGAAAGGAAATTTACGTGTCGTAAGACCTTCCTTTATTTAGCGTACAACCTTTTTTTTTTTAAGACAGAAGATTCCACAGATACAAGACAGACATAACGGTGTGTATGTGTGTGTGAGTGTGTGTGTGGAAGGATGACTGGAAGACGTACGAGATCGTTACGAAAAATATTAACGGAGAAACAAACTGCCATGATGGTCCCGCGTGATCTCGTGATGATCCCACTTATTGTTTTCACATTCTTTCTTTTTTTTAAATTTTGCTCGTACAATCGTACAATCTCATGTTTGAATCTTCCAGGCAAATAAATTATTCTAGAAAATTGCGCCGATTGTCCGCAATTCCCTCGTAAAGCGACGCAAATTAAAAAAGATACTAGGCTCGATGACATCGTTGCTCCACAGTGGTCACAAACACTCAAGATCATCCTGTTTCCTATTTCGAGCCATCGTGAAATGTAATGTCGAGTAGTACAGGCCATGTTATGATGATACAATTATGCGAACTCGTCGACGAAAAATGCTCATCCTATCTGACAATTAACCCTTTCGCTACGAGCCGATTTTTCGGCGCACTTGCGGAAGATCTGCGATATCGCCGGTATAAAGGAAAAGGTGAACAAATTATCACATAATACAATTAGAAAATATAATTTAATCAAAATGTAATCTCGTATGGAAAGTTTCAAAACACGGGTATAAACATGCTCGTACAATCGTTAGGTGACTATAGTCATCGCACGTAGCGAAAGGGTTAAATTGAAATCGTTGCGAGAAGCGAAACGTTATCGACAATATCTAAGTTCGAAAACTTAGCTCAATTTTCTATGGTTGGTTTTACACCTAATTGAACGAACTGTTCATAGAAGTTCACAGTTGAATCTTGTGATATATAGGATGTCGTATCTTCTTTCTACGTGCATTGTAAAACTTTTAAAGTTATCTTTCGAATGTATATATATATCACATTGGATCTCTACCTAACTGCGACTAACTATGAACAATTAACTAGTCATCGTAAAAGTATAATTACAACCTTTCGCTTCTCTTCGGATATCATAATCGGTGCCATACCGTAAGATCGTTAATTATTTGTACGCTGTGAGATAGATTCTCTTTATAATCAAATGTAATCTGCGGATAATGTGTTTGAAGATAGATGGGTCTATTTTTTTGCCTTTTTCTTTTCTTTTTTTTTTTACGACGAATTACTTCTATTTCAGCTCGATAATTATCTCATCGCCTTTGTTCGTTTTATCGTATATCAAACGTATATTCGTACACGTGATTGCCACCATTATTGCTTAGAATTTATCAAGTGAAATTTACCAAAGTCTACAAAATTGATCGAAGTTCGAAAAAAAAGAAAAAAAAATAGTATTATACTAAATTATAATTTCTTCCTCCAACGTATTGCAATCATAACGTATATAATTTTATAGAATAAAATTTTGTACGGTTAATTTCAATCTTCATAATATAATCATAACAAAAACGTATACGTACTATCGTTATATTCTGTAAAAGAATGAGCAAAGAGCACTCGCAACAGGTGATCCATCTATCTTCCAATGTTACATTTATATTAGCACAATATTACCAGAAATCATATTAGCAGTATTACATTTATATTAGCGGTATTAGCTGATAATCTGGAGTTATTTCTTTTCTTTCAAATAATTCCGTGCCTCTTGCGATTGTAGCCATTACAGAGGAAAACATACACTGGAGGTAAAACGAAGAAGCAGATTCGTATCTTCAAAAGATGCACAACAATTGAAAATTGGGTGTTTCCTACTCCTATGTATAATTTATACGTATATGTATATATTATAGTTACACACAACATTATTTCTTGATATTTGGTTCCTTATGTAATGCATGTAGGTACATGTAACACATATATATATGAACATATAATGTAATTGATATTTGGTTCCTTATGTAATGCATGTAGGTACATGTAACACATATATATATGAACATATATAATATATGTATGTATTAAATCAATTATATTGTGCTTGTTGATCCGTACGACACAGGATGTCTACTTTGTTTCTGTTATTAGGAGTACATGTACACATATAGATCAGGAGGTTATTTAAGATTGAATTCAACCGGCGAAATACACTATTGATTTTTATTACATATCTTCTTGTTTTTCTCATCGCTCCGTGTTTAACAGAAGTATCGTTCTCCCTCTTTCATCTTGTCTCGATGCTAATGTCCGAGATTAGGAATATTAGTTATCCTTGCGAGAATTCACTCCGACTCTATGCGTCTGTTGTTTCGACATTCGCTAATTTATTCTTAAACGTTAAATCGTTCATTATGCTAATCTCGCTGATAGTTTATTCACTCGTGATATGATGTAAAATGTACGAGACGTTTGGTGAGGTCGACTCGAGGTTTCCATCTTTGCTCGGTGAATTTAATTAATAGATGTTAGTCATGCACATTTTTTACAATGTCTTAGCTTTCCTCAACTTGGGAACAAAAATAACTTTGAACTTCCTCGAGGCTGATCAAATAATTTTTTTTTAATTATAATTTGATTGCATCATAACACTTGTGATTCACAATCAACTAAATTTATTCACTTATCAAATAAATTCGCTTATTCTGCAGTCTGAAACGGGCAACGAACTTCCAATTTAGAGTTCCAAGAGAAATTAATCTAAATTCGAAATTCCAATAATTTTGAACTCACGTATTACCAACATCCTTAATAAATTCTTCGGTTACAGACTCTCGCTGACAGTCTCTCGTTGAACAAACACTTCTCTTCGATCTATCCAATTTGCGATATCATCGAAAGAACGATAAAAAAAAAAA